CCGCGTACAACGACTTAAGAACGTTGTGGATGCCTTTTTCCACAAACCTATTAATTTGAACTTTCTCATTTTAAGTAGGGTTCCACAAACCTGTTTGGACGTTGTCATTTTGGGTAGGGTTCCACAACGTGTATATGATACGTACAGGGAACAAGTTTTTGACACCATTTTTTTTTTACATAATTTTTTACACTAGCTTTTGTGGGGCCCACTTCGTAATGTATTTCAACGAGCTGAACCATCTATTTTTTAGTCTTCCTCAAAGATTATGTCTACCAAAAATCACTCAAAATTTTAAACCATATGACCGTTAGATTAAAGGTTTAGGGTTTTTTTTTGTACAACCGAATTTGTCAATTTTCTTCATTACAAATGAATGTCTTAATGGTTTTGGATTTGTCTAATTTTTTGCAAGGATGATCTATGAATGATGTTCTAAAAGATAGACAGTTCAAATTGTTAAAATACGTTACAGTTATAATACTTACTAATTTCTTAATTTTTTGAAGTATTGAGATTTTAATTTTGAATCATCAATTTTACTAATTAATTTCTTCCTGTTTGTTTTAAACAAAAATTGTTATACAACAACTATCTCTGCATCCAATGTTTATGTTTGGGGATTCAGAGTTGCTTGAAGGATTTGACTATGGAGTGGGATTCTAATTCTAGAATCGTAATTAAATCTGTTTTCTCTTCTTTAGAGATTTTTAGCTGGTTAATGCATTTATTTGCATAATGACCATATATATATATATATATACACCACATTTGTAACATTTATCTTTACTTTGATTTTTCGAATAGGTATTATTAACTGGTTTTTTTTAGACCAGCTTTTTAGATTTACTTTTCTCATAAAATTTACTAGCTAGTATCAAAATTCCTGTTTTTGTTTGGGAAGTGTTATTGGCAATCCAAAAATCTCTTTCTACACTCCTCACAAGAGTATTTTTGTTTCTAAATATAGAAAGTTTGGAGTGTAGAATGAGGAATTTGAAGTGCCAATAACAATTTCCTTTCGTTTTTGTATTTATAGTATCTTTTACTTGAGTTTTTAGTGGGGCATTTTCTACTAGAGGGAGCAAAGGGGGTAGACCTTATTGTTCACAAAATGCTCCTAACTCATATGTAGCAATTTTTTTTTAATTTATCTTTGTTGACTTGTATAGTTATTTTCATATCAATACATAGTTTTAGTCCTTCTTTTTGGATAATAATAATAATAATAATAAGGGTAAATTATATAAACTACCTCAACTATTGGGTTATTAACAGTTTCATATTTCATCTTTAAAAAGTTTCAATGTCATACCTTATCTTCGAATTTGTTGCAATATCATACCTTCCGTCAGCTGTCTGTCAATTCCTCTGTTAAATGCTGACGTGGCATGAGGCGGGGTCCACTTTGTATTAGAAAAATTAATTAAATATTAACTACATATTAAAAAAATTAAAAAACCCAACCCAACCAAACCAAACCCAGATCCCACCACCCCTCCCCCCAGGGAAACCCCATCCCCTTGGATCTTCCCCTGTTCCCCCCACAAAACCTTCATTCCGTCTCTCCCTCCCCACCCCCCCAAAAAAAATCTTCCTTCCGTCCATCCCCCCCCAACAAACCTTTCGTCCGTCTGTTCATCCCCCCCCCCAACAAAACCTTATGTCCGTCCGTCCGTCCGTCTATCCCCCCTAACAAAACCTTCCTTCCATCCATCTCCCTCCGCCAAAACAACCCCATCATCCATCCGTCGTCCCCCCGCCAAAACAACCCCACCATCTGCACCCCCCCTGGCTCCCCATTTCCTTCTCCCCTCACCCGAGCCCAACCTGCAACCCGAAAAAAGAAAGAAAAAAAGAAAAAAAACCCATCTTCATCTTCCCCGACCCCCCCTTCCCTCAACCCACCCTTTCTTCCCCTCATGTCTTCCCCAAACCCACTGCGGCACCCATCCTCCCTCCTCCTCTGCACCCACCCTCTTCCCTTCTCTACACACCCCACTCCGTAAATCCACACCCATTCCCCCACATTCAAACCCCAATCATCTCCCCCCCCCCCCACCAAGCAACCAGAAGAAAGGAAAAAAAAAAAAACCCAATCGCTCTTCCTCGACCCCAGTGCAAGGAAGAGGAAGATGGGGAGGGGGAGGGGAGGGGGAGGAGCACCATGGGAGGGAGGAAGAGATGGCGCGGGGTTGGGGGGGTTTTAAAAGAAAATGGGTCCCATCACTTGCCACGTTAGCATTTTAATAGATGAATTGATAGACAACTGACAGAATGTATGAAATTGTAACAAATACGTAGATGAGGTATGACATTGAAACTTTTTAAATATGAGGTATGAAACTGTTAATGACCCAATAGTTAAGGTAATTATGTGTAATTTACCCTAATAATAATGTTTCCATAAGTAAGGATATTATGAGATGATAACATCTTCATTAACAAATACTTGTCTAATTTCATGGGCAAATAGGTTTGATAATCCATTGATAAATTTTTCTTTCCAAAATGGTTGATTACTATCTTTCATAAGCATTATTCTAGACATAAAAACATTTTTTTTCCACCTGAAATCACTTAAGGTTGGGCATATTAAATTACTAGGTAGATCATGTATTCTAGAGGTGACGTTACTTGCGTTCCCATAAAATGTTCTATTATTAAAAATAATAACTTGTGGATTGTGTCTAGGACTCCCATTCCAGTCTCACTACAAGAAAGACAAATGCGGTGAAAGATTCCCTCTACTTTTACACTTCATGGCTAAATACAAGGTGTCATGGATCTTTAAAATAAGGGATATTATGTCAGTCATGATGAAGAAGTGTTTAGGGTCATTTTAGTCAAGTGATTGGACAAATTCAATCAATAATGAATCCTCGACTAGGTCCTCAAAGAGTTCCCTTAAGTAATTTATGGTTCCTCCAACACAGTTACTCTCAGAGATTTCCCTTTCCTCTTCCCTCCAAGGAAGGTCAAAATCATCTTCCTCAAAAGGAAAGTCAGCTTCTGAACTTACAAATTTAGCTCACCAGCTACACCAAATAGTTAGTTAGATTCTAAAAATAAAGATGATTTGTCTTTAGACTCTTCAGATGCTTTCTCCCAGAAGCCGGCCATTACAGTTAAAACCAAACCAGTAAAAGAAGAGTAGAAGTTCAGAGGGACAGATTGTCAAGACAATCAAGACCCCAACGAGTAAACTAAGCAGAAGTTAAAATTAATTTTTGGTGACCACTATTCATCCAAGACATAAATTCAAACAGTCATCCGACAAAGTACTATTCATCTACAGTGTCGTAGTGATGCCAATGATCATTTTGCATGCAAGTTCAACATTAAACCGACAAGATACCATTCATCCACAGTGTTGTCGTACCAATAATATTTACTCCACGTGCAAAATCAATAGGCAAAATACAGATCATTTAGACATACCACTATTCACGAATGAACCAACAGTCATCCAGCTCGTGCTTCCACAGTCACTTCGTGATTCTAAATATATGAGTAATGCAAACAACCAGTTTCATGAAACTAATCTCAATGTAAGAAAGCATTCATTGTTTCTAAAGCTCTGCGGTCAAAACTCCAAAAAGATTAGTCTTCTCCAAAACAAGAAATTGGTATCTAATTATATATCTAAAAAAACCGAAAAGAACCTAAAAGAGTAAATATAGGTAACAAAATTATGGATATATAAATTAAAATTACCATATTCTAGATACGTTGTCAAAGCATGTTTTCGACAACAAGGAAAAATGCACATTGTGCTGGTAGTGTTGTTATATCCTATTTTCTTGTAGTGTCATGACTAATCATTCTTTTATTTTTAGCTTAGACAAGTTAATGCTATCTTCACTACGACACAATATGTAATTAATAGCATTGCACGATAGCGTTTCTCCACAATTGTTATTGATCAATGGCTTAAAAAATTCCAGCTCTTTTTAAAACGCTATTGTAGGCTTTAAAATTTTAATATTTTGAAGTTGGTACTAACTTTTTCCTTTCAACATAAAATGAATCACTTGAGCTGTCCAATCTAATTCTGTACATCAAACGAGGCCTAAAGATTTATGGACTTACTACTTACAAAGATAAACTGATAAGCAAATCAAATGAACTTGGTTTAATTTACTACAAATTATCATTTGTCGGTCCTGTGTCGATTTTGTGGTAATTGTAAATAATCAAATTAGTTGCTTGGTACATGTTATTGGTTGTTGCCAGGGAATTATTCCAATGTGTTACTTCTTTATGTGCTATCATTTCAGATGGATAATGTAATTCCATTTCCTTTTCTTGGAACTTAAATTCTTTAATTTAACTATCTGATGTATATCACAGGTCGCTTTGGGTGAGAATAAACTGTTGAAATTTTTTGGATCGACGGGTCTGGAAGGCCCTACGATAACAACATCGATATTGTTCTCAATTTTACCATCTGCCTAATCCGTTAGGTGTGGGGTTTTACCACAAAAGGCCTCGGTATTAGTTAGAGTAGGGTAATCCTATTTAAAGTCATTGCTTTTCTTTACCCCCACCAATGTGGGACCGCTAACACGCCCCCTCACGTGTAACCCCATTTAGTGGTTCACACATGGAGATCCACACATCGGCAATTGAAACTCAGAGGTCGACTCCAATGAAGTCCAGACTTGTTTTCAATCTTTTCAAGAAGTGACTCTTAAGAACTCAAATGTCGGCTCTATTTTAAGAGTCCAAGCTTGTTTCTGAGCCCACACTTCCTGGTGACAAGCCTTTAGCTTGTACGGGCCCGTAACTGTGGGCTCTGATACCATGTTGAAATTTTTGAGATCGACGGACCCGGAGGGCCCACTCTAACGACACCGTTCCCAAATTTACCACATGCCCAATCCATTAAGTGTGGGGTTTTACTACAAAAAAACCTCGATATTAGTTAGAGTGAGGTAATCCTACTTAAAATCATTGCTTTTCTTTATCCTCATCGATGTGGGACTGCTAACATAAGCACCCAAACGGTTGTAACATAACCAAACAGAAAATTACTTAGCTAGGGATAAGCCCTAACTCTAGCAGTCCCAAGCTTATCAGCAACCATTAAACGAATGCATAGCAGTCCTTTGAAACATGACGAAAATGTATATAAACAGCTAGCTGGATCGTTGAATCTAAAATTCGAACCCTAGAATTTCTTCTTCAGTCCTAATACCTAGCCTACACTACTACAAAGGCAGGGTACACACTCAAAGCACAAAGTGATGAAGAGAATAAGAACTTCCTGCTTGTATTGCCTCCAAGGCCGCTGCACACGGCTGCTTTGCCTCAGCTTCTGGACCTGCAGCTCCCCTGAACATCAAAACTGCAAGGCTGCCCACGCAAAAATAGATGAAACAGCCGTGGCAATGTGTAACAAATGAACCAAAATCTGCTCCTACAATGCACTGCCATCCAGGTCCATATGTCCTGTCAAACTCCTGCAGAAACAAAAAAAATTATAAGTTTATAAAAATTGTCAACATAATTCATGTCATATTGTTGATAATTGAGCAAGCCAGCAGTACTCGTCAAATAAATTTTGAAGTGAATAAATGTAATATGAGCAGCTAATACGTGACCATTTGATAATCATTTCGTTTTTAGTTTTCACCTTTGATAATCATGTAATATGAAGACCTCACCCTTATTTTGAAAGCCACAAAAGCTACTTTTCTAAGTTTTCAAACATTGTCTTGATTTTTGTTTTCAAATTTCAATTTTTTTGAAAACTAAAATCTAAAATCTAAAAACTGAAATAAATATGGTATCAAGCGGTCCTAACTCCCTAAGTGATTACCTTTTTAATGAAGCGGCCTATCTCAGTGGCTTCAGTGACATCAAATAAATCAAGGACTTTGGAAGTCAAGTCAAGTGCCTTCTGCTGCATGGTTTGAAGCATGTCAGTCTCAACGATGACTGCTTTACCCTCCAGCATGGTTATTAACAAGATGGAGATCGGAAATTTACAAGCAAAAACTTTGTTGGAAAAGAGTTGTGATGCAAATTTGTTGAACTAAGTAGTTATACGTAGTGGTGCAGCTTATATCGAGCTCGGAACCAAGGGGATATATAGCTGGTGCTACTCACTCAGCCACGTAATATGTGGATATTTTTCCTTTGTGGCCAGCACACCAGCATGTGCTGTGCAATGTGCCAAATTAGTAACTACAATTCTGTTTTGACGTGGATGAGCTTATTGGCAAGAAAAATCTTAAGTGTAACTGAGGTATATACATTTTTTTTTTTTTGTCTCTTATCACATGATTAGGTCATGTGATATGAGAAATATGTAGAGAGCACAACCGGTTACATAGAAAAATCTTTTGTGAATTGTTTGGGAGGTAGAAAAAATTTCAATCAGTTCTTGGTTACTATTAAATTTGGGACAGGTGGCTTGATAATTGGGTTTTGGAAATGTGGTCCACTTGCTATATATGATTGCATGGTTATGTTTGTCCAGTTACGGCCATGGTTTGGAACAATATGAAATGCATTGAGGGGCCAATATTCAAGCATTCCAGAGATTTGAAGAAACTGGAAAGATCAAGTGGTTGCAGTTGGATGGTGCATTTCTTTGTGCAAGCTAATTTCTAAACTGTTTATTTTTCTTTTTCTGGTCAGTATAAAAAGATGAAAAATGGTTTGAAATCCAAATCTTTTTGTGAATTCTTTTTTCCAACGTCATATAAATCATACCGCACGATGATCTACGAATTTAGGTTAGTTTGTTATTAAAGAATTATCTACTACATTTATCTTGTCACCAATCATCATATATAGTGACCACTATGCACACAATAGAATGGAAGTTTTTACAGATTTCCAAAATTCATGGAGAGATTATTTGTGTTTTGACTGAATAAAATATAAGTAATGAAACCTAAATTATTGAACATCCCACTCATTTGATTCTCTCTTTGGCTGGGGAAAACCCACTTGTCTAAACCAACTGGTAGAGCTACAACATCAACACGGCAGTTGAAAGAGTTTTATCATAAGAAATCTTGATATGATTAGAAGTGAAACCATATAATATAAATCATGTGAAACTTTGTTAGTTTTCCGACGCTGTGAATTTTTGTATTTTTGAATCGTAATCAATACGAGTTTCCTTTATATATGTTAATGTTAACCTAACTAGGGCTAGAAAATGAGAACTAGCTCGGCCGTTCATCTTCAGAATCAAGGCCCCACCTTAAGTCATGAACCATTTTGGATCACGGAAGTTGTTGGATTAGGCCCTTGCTCAATTTTATTTGGTTCACCCATATCCATGGACCAATTTATTATGTTTATTTTTTTTGTCAAAAACTATTATGTATTTATTTAAGGTCTAATCCCTTTGAAGTTGTCTCTGATTTTGATGTTTTAAAATAATAAATACATGACAGAGTTTTGAATGCTCAATGTGGGGATGTAGCTCAAATGAGAGAGCGCTCGCTTTGCATGCGAGAGGTACAGGGTTTGATCTCCTGCATCTCCATCATTTTTTTATATTTCTTTAACCACATGTCCACTACGTGCAAAATTCCTGGCTACAAATTATAGTTCAGCCTGTTCTAAAAGATCTCAAAACAAATCTAAATCTGTTATATTTTCAACTACGTTTGCTCACCGAGTGTTATTTTATTTTTTTTGTTGCAACCTAAACCGATTTCTAGGTTTTAACCTGCAAACTTTTATGAAGCTTCATAGTATATAATATTTTAGATTTTTTTAACCCTTAGGTTAGATTTTAGTTTTTGTGTTTTGACCAAAAAATTATGGTTAAAAAATATAGAGTATCAGTACTCGAAACACTATTAAAAATGCATTCTAACCTACACTGTCACTCACCTTATCTGCTTAAAGCATCTCTAGTTCTGAGCTTTTATCAGTCTTTCTAATTGTAGTTCACCAATGGTTAGAGAAAATAGTGTAAATACAACATATGACCGGAGATGTTAAGCTATACACTGTTTTACATTTTGCAGCGAGGTCCCCTCAATGTAGCAAAAAACACACTTTACATACCCATTTTTGTTATCAAAATTAAGATATAAAGTGGAAGCTAAAACTTTTTCAGTTCCAGAAATCAACCACTCGTTAGAGATGCTGTTAGACTAACACTAAAACGACTTGATGACCAATCATTACATTACATGGGGATCGACATGGTCTTAAAATTTGTTACGTTGTTGAAAACACCAGCTGGATTAGATCATGCATTCTATTAATTAAACCCAATTAAAAAGGTAACCAAAAAAAAAAAAAAACGTAGCCAGAAGGTTGTGCAACTTCCATCTAAACCTCACGCTAAAACGACAGCTTTCCTAATTTGTTTATAGTCAAGATTTCCATCTCACAAGCTCAAATCTCTTCCTCCTCCCACCTCATATGTCGCTGGTGGAACTGTTTGTTTTCTTGACATTCAACCCAACCTGACAAACAACGCGTCAACCACATACCCTTTGTCCCAAACGATTTTTTTTTCAATGTACATGAAACACCGCCTCGTTATTGTAATCTCATGTCAAATAACAAGTAAACAGATATACAACCTGACAAGTATTTTAAATCTCATAAAAATTTCTCGACGTAACGTTTCATTCAACACCCCCCAGGCATATCACACAACACCACCTGTCCCATTGCTCATCCCCCAATATGCTGTTCTTCCAATAACAAATTAAATAGAATATCCTCGCCACCTTTCCCTCCCAACCATCCACCCAACTCCTCTCCCTTCTTATTCCCATAATATTACACATCTCTCCCTCGCATTTCATCCCCCAACACCAAAATTTTTCTTCCATTCCCTCTCTACATTCCCACACCAAACATCTACATTTATTAATTTCTTTTATTCTCTCTCCCTTTTTCTTGTGCTAAATTATCGATCAGCGTCGTTGCTACCACCACCACCGTTGCTATCACCAATTAGGAGACGAGACACGACATAAATAACATTATGGCACGTGGTCTCCTCTCCTGCTTTGGATCAAAAGGGGGCTCGGGCACGTCCCACGAAAAGCACGCGGCCGGGGCGACCGCGCATGTTTCGGCAGAGGAGCAGCAGCGGAGCGGACCGGTTCTGGTGGAGCTGTTCTCGTCGCAGGGCTGCACCACCTCGCCTGTCGCGGAGCTGCTGGTGTCAAGGCTTGGGAGGGGGGATTTTGACGGGACGGACCTGCCTCCTGTGGTTGCGTTGGCCTTCCACGTGGACTACTGGGACTACATGGGCTGGAAGGACCCTTATGGGTCCAGCCAGTGGACTGTACGGCAGAAGGCCTATGTCGAGGCCTTGGGTCTGGACACCATGTTCACCCCCCAGATTGTGCTTCAAGGTAGGGCCCAATGTGTTGGCAACGATGAGAGTGCTTTGATAACGTCTATCAAGGATGCACCTAGATATCCTGCACCGGCGTTCCAGGTTCGCATTTCTCATATGTCCTCAATATTATTTTGATATATTTTAATATAAACGATATTCTATATTAATCAATGATATTATTATTAAGAAAACTCTTCTTTATCAACTTTTTTTTTCCTTTTTTTTCTTATTTTGTTATCATTTTTGATACACATTATTGGCAAAAAGAACGGTAAAATAGTAATTTTGTACCTTTTGACAAAATGATAATTATATTCCTATTTTTTCTATTTTACCATTTTTTTTTTTAGATAATGATAATCATATTTTTCTAATTTTACCATCACTTTTGATACACAATATTTCCCATAAGGAGGAAAAAATAGTAATTATGTAATATTAAAATAAAATATGCACTTATTAAAAGAAATTGTTCACACACACAAAGTATATGCTTTCTATTAATTTAGATTATGAGAAGATTGAATATTTGAATTCAGAATACATTAGTTTGAAGAGAAAGACTTTAATCACCCACCAATTGTTAATAATTTTTATTTTTATTTTTATAAAAGTGATATTAAAAAAGAGAAATTAAACTCCTAACTTTATATGCAACGATAAATATTCTTTAAGTTTATGCATAAAACGCTATTTAAAACAATTATCTTTGTAAGTACTTACATTCAATGATTGTCACCCTAATCATTGAGGTACCTTCATCTTTATTTAATCATATTTTTACCTTAAAGCAAGACTGCTAAAATATCTAAGTACCAAAGTGGAAATAGTTTAGATAAAATATTACATGACATGTATACTTTCTGGTACACCTAAAAGCAATGTCAACTTTTGACGCTTTTACAAATGGTGGATCACTTTCAAAGTGTCAACTTTTGTCGAAAGCTAAAGCCTGATGTATGTTAAACATTCGTATTTCAAAGCCTATATTTTATGACACATGTAATGTTATGTTTATGTTGTTACATTTTGAATTTGAACTAGCTCATAATACATGTAACATCACATTTGAGATGTTACATTATTAAACTTTAAATTTGAACTATGTATTTAAACAAGAAACCATTTAATTATTTGTAAATCTAACAAAGATTTGGACATTAAAAAATGTTACCATGAGAAAGATTTTGGTTAGAGTAATTTTATCTGTTGTGGCTAGTCAAACTTGGCTAATAGCCGTTCGCAAAATAGTGAAGGATAAATACTAGCAACTTGGTTTTGTTGTGGATGAACAGGCAACATTCCAAAAGCCATCACCGGCCTCCTTGCAAGTATCCCTAACAGGATCATTGAGGTCGAAGGTGGACAACTACGGTGCCAATGTGATGGTGGCGCTGTACGAGAACGGGCTGATTACCGACTGCCCCAAGGGAGAGAACCAAGGACGTGTCCTGTCCAATGACTTCGTCGTCCGACGACTTGAAAAGCTCTGCACTGTCAGAGACATTGCTGCAAAGAAGACCATTTCTGGAACCATAAACTTCTCCTTGTGGGACGGTTACAATCCAGCCAAATGTGGCATGGCCCTCTTTGTTCAGAACCCTTCCCATCAAATTTTTGGTTTGCAGGACTTTCAGCTGCCGGACAATTGATACGGCTATACGTTTCTGCTGGCCGGTATTGGTGGACGATTATGTACAGGATGTGTTCATAGTAGGGTTACTGATTTCTTTTTCTTTTTTCAGTTTGTGTTTTTCCTTGGTTGTTGGGATTTGACATTTAGAATATGGGAGAGAAATTTGCATTCAGGATTATTAACTATTATTTTCGCATTTCGAATTTAATTCTTTGAATCACAATTTACCCGTTTGAAAGATGATGCTGGACGGTTTACATGCTAAACATTCAAACCCATTTCTTACTAGCACCGAAGTTCGAATTCTCCTCCATGTAGATTAGGATAGTTTAAAATATCACCTTATCAAAGAACGAAGGTTCTTACTACGATAATACCAAACTTCCAAGAACACTAGGGCACCTCAACATTGAAAATATACAAGTACAAGCACGCTGATTACTATAGAGTCGTTCACTTATTTTCAACCTAAAACAAAACTTATTATCTACAACAGGGCAGCTCAACCCAGAGCCGTCTACTTCCACACTAGTTCGGAGTACCAACTACTTCCTCACAATATGACCTCCCTACCATTTATCGGAAGACCGATGAGCAAAAAGAATACAATATTACAATATGTGAACCTCCCTTCCAATCCAAAAGCACTTACAGAAAAAGGTAATCACAGTTTACACTGAATCTACTGCTTCAACCTGTTGCCGAGCCAAGTATTTCTCCCTCCGCTCCTTCTGAAAAAACAGAACAAACCAAAATGTTATGCATAAGCACATAAGACTAAAAATTTAGCCCATTGTACTACGGATCAGATGTTTGGTAAAACTCATACCCATTCATCTATTACAAGGCCTTCCCCAACATCCCGAGGGCCTGAGTCCACAGGAGGCGGCTTCTTACGCACTTCAAGTGCAGCCTCAGCTTCAGCCAACTGTCTGTTCAGTTTTTCCAGAGCCTATAAACCACAATGTCAAATACTGGAAAGAAATGTATTTTCTAAGAGATGCAAACACAAGTACCATTAAGTAAGTCACATTCAACTTACAGGACTAGGGTGCTCTGCATCCAAAAATACAACACGCAAAATTTGCTCGACTGTCACTTGATCCTTTTGTTCGTCAAACTGGATGAAAAGAAAAGGTCAGTTAACAAAACTAAGGTTATCAATTGCATGATCCAATTCTATCGGATGTCTCTGAAGGGTTGTCATCAAATGTAAGATTATAAAAGCAACAAAACGCTAAAATTGACAGTACTAATTTCCGACCGAAAAACACAATGCAAGCGAGCAACAAAATCAAATTCCACAAGAGCTCAATATAAGGTAAGATCATAATACAAACAACTGGAAACAAGCACTCAAATATCCTAGCAATGTATGCATAAAATACAAAATGCGCTATGACCATGAACATTAAGTCGGCGAAAGAGCACTATATTACCAGCTCAGGCACATAGTCGATCCCTGCATTCACCTTGAGACTCATAATCTTGAACTTAACCTTGGTCTTCTGATCCAAATGTTTCTCATTGTTCTCGGGTTGCTCCACAAACCTAAACACTGTCCATCATCAAATCCAAAGTCAATAAAAAAATTTACAACAATGATTAAGTACAAAGATTTTTTTTTTTTTTTTTTTGGGTTGAGCTTAGTAGGTTAGAAATTAATTGTTGTGAAGGGAAATTAATTGTTGGGAAGGGAAGTCGGTGGGGAACAAACCCGCACCAAGGTGCATAGGCCTGAATGTTTTCCGCCACTGTGGTAAAGCGCCATCTGCAAAAAGCGTTCGCGCACAATGTGCGGGCATATACTAGTTTTTATCAATAGTAAGTAAATTATCCACCAATGGAACAACCAATTCATAAAGATTTGTTATTTGTAGCAACAGAGCAAGTGCAAGGGCATTACCGGTCGCAATTAAGCTTTCTCCCGGAGCAAGTATTCCTCCCGGAGGACGCATATAGCAACTTTTCGGCGCAGTAGTTTGAAACTAAACCAGCAAATACAAAACCAATTTAAATAGTCAATGAAGCTAAATAAAAAATAATCACAGAGAAAAAAAAATTAACAATTAAATAAATAATAAATGCCTTCTAAATTTTTGCTTAAAATACAAGTAATTATAACAACATAACTCTTAAGGTTGATGTCAGAGAGGAATTAGAAAATACCTTAAAAGCTACATGTGACCTGCTTCTGTTCTTCAATCGGATCGCACTTTTCACCTGTTTCCCAGTTTCATCTACAAAATTAAACCCACAAATACATAATCCGTCAGCTACAGTAATAAGTGCTTTTAGAAAAAGCAGCGAGGGCGTTTAAATGAGAAACGATGACGTACAAGGGAAGTAGAGTTTGTTGGCGGGGTCGAGTCGGAGTCGACGACGAGGAGGGAGAAGGGATCTCGCGACGGACGATACCGTTTTGGGCTTGGATTTGAATCCATCGCCGTGGAGCTTCTGCGTGGAAGAGGAAGACGACGACGTTTGGCCCCCCGACTGCCAGAATGGGCAGAGGGTGAAGAGCTTCGTGTCGGAGTGCGACTTGTGCCGGTGGTGGTGGTGGCTGTCGACGATGGCCATGCTTTCTTCACCGGAATCGGACACGTGGCATGCAATCAGAAGCTCGGTGATTGAATTCGCGTGTTTTCGTGTGTCGGTTTAGAAATTTCTCTACCTAGAATCGTCGGGAGCTCTTCTCTCTCTCAGTCCATCTGTGATTTTTGGAGTGGAAGTTTGCCAGGGTGTGAAACATAAATCGGATGGGAGGAAATGATCACCTGCCACTCAACTCCGCGAATTCACTGCACCCGCCGCGTGTAATTTTTTTATTCGCAACCTTTGGCGTCGTTTTCTTGCAATGAAGATACGTGTCGGATAGACGTCCGGATCAGCCACGTGTCGGTTATATATGTTCGCGATGATATTTTGGTGGCTTTGCAAGTTGCGCCTGCCGTGCTTAAAAGGATAAATCGGCGATGACGACGAAGAGGGAAAGATATTGAGTTTGTGAGTGAGCTTTTCGTAAAGAATATTGTTTGTGTCCTGTTATGTAGGGATTTATTTGTCACCGAATTACAGATAACGAATTTTTAGTTTCGAGCACTATAATCGAAATCGTTTATTATTTTTATTATTATTTAAAGATTATATTTGTCAAAAATTAAATAATTTAGAGATTGATTAGTCATTCATACGTGTAAATCAATTAAAAGTTTCGATAACAAGTAACATCTTCATATGAAGTCCATGTGTTTGTATGCATATCTCTAAATTGAATAATTTTTTTCATTTATGACCTATAGATGATGATAAAGAGAATAAATAATTTTAATGATAATGTTGATAATTGTAAGTGAAAGATATTTAAATCCCCGCATGGACACAAGCATTATCCTTTGATAAATACATGCAGTGTCATTTCTATCACGGATGGGACGCGTCCTTTAGTTTATTTCTTGGGCATCAATTTCCAAAGATAATGTGTCAAAGGTTCCCACCCTTGTTAAGTTGAGCTAGAATCTAAGAAAATTTTATGTTTTGTAGCATTTGTTTGTAACTAAACAAGATATTTTGATGATTAGATTTATAAAATATAAGTGGGTGAGAGATTCAATTACCTCAGGCTAAGGATATATTAAGTACGTCCTAAATTCTCGGATTAGAATGGTAGACTACGCCTCATAAATGGCTAGCGAATCACCTTCAAGGTCAAAGCAAAAAATGTTTTTTGTTTATGTGACTTGAAGATAAGTGATATCAAATCATTTAGTAGTACGATTTCATAATATTTCTCTTCTTCTATGAGTGAGAGGTCATAAGTTGGATTCTCGTAAAAGGTGAATTTGAACCAAATTAGTATAGCTAAACTATTGTGAGGTTTAACCTATTCTCTCTTCACTTAGTGTAGATAATATTGAATGTATTAAAAAACAATAGAGTTATATCAAACTTTTTCTTAATTTACTTATTACTAGCAGCAAGCAAAGTAAACTCACAATTTCAAATAAATAGTAAAATTTTGTGCTGGAACTAACGAAGCTGCTCAAACGACAAGGAGCTGTTTTGTAGAATTTTGTACTTATGGTTAAAATAATTCATTTTACAAGTCACTTTGTAAAGTTATTTCCGTAAAAAAATCAATAAAATATGATATCACTTAATCATTGAATTCTATATCTATATCTATATATATATATATATATATATATATATATATAACATATGAGCGAATGGAGCGTATCAATTTACTGGAATGTATATAGACCAAAAGAGAGAATGCAGGTAAAAGTATTAGGAACCGTAGATCTATTTGTTACATTTAATTGACCAAATGGTCTTTATTGTAATTGAATTTTGTACGGATGATCTTTACATAATGACTTACAATATTAACGGTTCTAATCATTAGCATGAATTTCTGTAAATCGATCATAAAGTGTTTTGAAGAAAAATTCCTCCTCATTCTTGAATAACCAAGCATGAATCGTTGTTTGAACTAAATGCTAGTACAAGTTCCCACAATAACGGGCAAACCTTTTGGGTCCTATCAACTTGAAGGAATTAACCCAAGTGAAGGGTGCATTTTTTTCCACGATCATAAGTGGTGATATGCTTATTATCATATTTATTACTATATGATAAGTTTATATCATGAGATTTGTGTCTATTACTATATAAGTCTCGAAATTTAAACTCATATAACAATAATAAATAGGGTAATAAGTATCACTATCACTTAAATGTAATAAACAAAAATATTCCCTTAAGAGAAAAGGTAATAGGAATTATTAATGAATTCAGTTGGGGTGGGTATGGGTACTTAATGATTGGTATGAAAATTAGGTGCGTTTTTTATTTTTGTCGGGCAATTGAGAATGGGAGAAATTAGGTGTGGATTTGTTTATTGCATTTACATGATTAGTTGGCTAAGGTTGTCGGTGAGTAAAGCATTTAGTGTGGAGGTTAGGAATTGATTAGGTGAATAATGACGTTTCTTGTGTGTATAAAGTTGTTGGCTAACCAATTATGGCTGAATGGGACATAAGGATGTTTATCCTTTTCCTTGCTCTTCACAGGGGAAAAAAAAAAAGTATTCTAAGGCCTCATCAAACCCTGCATCATGACCCAAATACAATATTGAGTGTGTCAGAATAGGAGTGTAATATTGTAATCGACTGAATTGAGAATTTCTTTCTTTATTAGGTTTCTTAAATTAACTGTGAATAGAGTTGTACAACCATGTATCTTTCCCTTAAGTGAAAAAAATATTATAGAAATATTCACGAATTCTAAGAGATGTAGTCAAACTAAGATTTTAAAAGATTTTAAAAATGATAGATTTAATAGGATTTAAGAGAATTAAAGACTCTTACAAAATTCATATGGATTTTAAAAAATTTGAAAGGATTGTGGTGGATTGTGATGGAAGGATTTGAAATCCTAGGGGGTGAGGTTTGATTCTTTTTACTCTTGGCTATATATACTTTTTACTCTCAAATCCCACAAAATCCACAACTTATTGAAATCCTTCAAAATCTTAATTTTTTTAATACACTTTAGATTTAGTGTAACATCCCCACATCGCCCAGGGGAGTGATCCTTAAATGTATATTCTCATCTTTACTAACACCAGGCCTTTTGGGGCTCAATGGCTTCGGGTTCTGTAGGAACTCCGAAGTGTTAAGCGAGAAGGAGGTGAGAGCAATCCCATGATGGGTGACCCACTGGGAAGTTGCTCGTGAGTTCCCAAAAACAAAACCGTGAAGGAATGGTAAGCCCAAAGAGGACAATATCGTGCTATGGTGGTGGAGCGGGCCCGGGAAGTGATCCGCCCTGGGCCGGGATGTGAAAATTTGGTATCAAAGCCTAACCCTAGTCGCGTGTGTGCCGACGAGGACGTCGGGCCCTTAAGGGGGGTGGATTGTAACATCCCACATCACCCAGGGGAGTGATCCTTAAATGTATATTCCCATCCCTACCTAGCACGAGGTCTTTTGGGAGCTCACTGGCTTCGGGTTCCGTAGAAACTTCGAAGTTAAGCGAAAAGGGGGCTAGAGCAATCCCATGATGGGTGACCCACTGGGAAGTTGCTCGTGAGTTCCCCCGAAGTTAAGCGAGAAGGGGGCTAGAGCAATCCCATGATGGGTGACCCACTGGGAAGTTGCTCGTGAGTTCCCAAAAACAAAACCGTGAGGGAATGGTAAGCCCAAAGCGGACAATATCGTGCTACGGTGGTGGAGCGGGCCCAGGAAGTGATTCCGCCCCGGGCTGGGATGTGACAATTTGGTATCAGAGCCTAACCCTAGTCGCGTGTGTGCCGACGAGGACGTCGGGCCCCTAAGGGGGGTGGATTGTAACATCCCACATCGCCCAGGGGAGTGATCCTTAAATGTATATTCCCATCCCTACCTAGCACGAGGCCTTTTGGGAGCTCACTAGCTTCGGGTTCCGTAGGAACTTCAAAGTTAAGCGAGAAGGGGGCTAGAGCAATCCCATGATGGGTGACCCACTGAGAAGTTGCTCGTGAGTTCCCAAAAACAAAACCGTGAGGGAATGGTAAGCCCAAAGCGGACAATATCGTGCTATGGTGGTGGAGCGGGCCCGGGAAGTGATTCCGCCCCGGGCCGGGATGTGACATTTAGATGGATTTTCAAATACTTTAAAATATTTTAATTGACTACACCTAGATTTGAATGGATTCTAAAATCCTTTAAAATCATTTAATTGACTAAACTATGATTTAAACTCTTTTAAAATCCTCTCAAATCCGAGTTTGATTACACCGCTTAAGTTGATATCACGGGCCTAGGTAAGAAATCAAAAAGAAAAAAAAAGAAAGAAGAACATCTGTTGTCGTCACTCATAGTTGTGGCCACACCCAAGAAAAAGTGGTTTGTCAGCCGGCTTTTACCAAACGAATCTTGCCGAATCGAACGACTCCTACCGAACTAAAACCCTGGAACCGGATTCTAGGGAACCTATTGAGAGACTGCTGCTTAACACCAAACGCTGAACCAACTTCCTGGCCGACCTTCCGCGTTGTCGTCGCTTCCGAAGCCCACGAACCCGAATCGAACTCCTTCGAAAGTTTGTCACCATGGCTAACGAGAAAAAACCCACTGAGTCGAAACCCTATGTCATTGGCTGCTTAAAACCAACCACCACCAGACCGATCAGAAACTCCTGCTGCTAGCTCAACGGACAACTTCAGCAGTACTCTTTCAGATTGAACATGCAATCAATGTCAACCTGGTCATTCCAAATCCCACCGGTATGAGATTGTGGGTTATCCTGAATGGTGGGATCATAGTAGGGATCTCATTAAACGAAATTCAGATCGTCAACCAACTGCAATTTCTAGTAATATTGGTAAGACATCTTCGAATTCTTCACTTATTTTGAATAATATGTGAAACAAACTGAACAAAAATAGTTGGTTCAGTTTCGGTTTTTATTGTTCGGAAATTAAATCAAACCGAACCGAACCGAACCGAAGTAGCATATATAAAAATCAACATTATTTTTTTATATAACCTATAATGATGTCATTTTTTATATGGGAATTTTAACGAAAAGCTCTGCTACTGTTCATTTTAACGAAAAACCACATTAGTTTTCCATTTTTTATAGGGTAAAGTACAAAAAAACTAAATCAACTATTGGTGTCACGACACTTTCATACCTCATCTTTTAAAATTGACAATGTCATACCTCATCTTAGGAATTTGTGCCAATGTTATACCTTCTGTTAGCCTGTCGTTAATTTGTCAGTTAAATGCTGATGTGGCTTAATCCAGAACCCGCTTTCTATTAAAAATTAATAAAATATTTAAAAAAAAAAAAAAATCATTTAATATTTTTAAATATTAAAATAATAAAGAAAAGTTAAAAAACAAAAGAACAAAACTTTTCATCCCTTCCACCCCCCTTTCCCCATTCTCTCTCTCCCCCCATCTTCATCTTCTTCCCTGCTTA